GCATGCAAGGCAAGCGCTCTACCACTGAGCCACCTTCCCAGCCCTCAGACCTTATTTTTAATGGCATTCCTGTCTCTCCCAGAATGGAACATCTAATTTTCAGGGCAAGAGGGGAAATATGAAGCAAATATATTCTCAGCTTTCTCAGAGAGTCATCATACAAGCATTTCATTATTCCACTGGCTGATTCTCTCTCACTCTATTTCTTCCTTGGTCCTCTGATGCGTCCCCATGGGATTCATCTCTAGTCAAACACCAAAAAGCCGGAAGTGGAGCTGTGGCTGAAGTGGTAGAGGCTAGCCTTGAGCAAAAAGCTCAAGGACAGCTCTCAAGCCCTGGGTTCAAGCCCCAGGACAGGCACACAAAAAGGCATAATATCATGGCATGAACAACAGGTAAAAATGAATTAGAACATGCAGACAACAATAAATTAAAAATAATAAGTAGGGGCTGGGAAGGTGGCTCAGTGGTAGAGTGCTTGCCTTGCATGCATGAGGCCCTGGGTTTGATTCCCCAGCACCACATAAGTAGAAAGAAGTTGGAAGTGGAATTGTGGCTCAAGTGATAGAGAGCTAGCTTTGAGCTGAAGAGCTGAGGGACAGTGTGCCCCGGCCCAGAGTTCAGGCCCCACAACCAACAAAATAATAATAATAGTAAGAAGAAGAAGAAGAAGAAGAAGTATGATTAGAACATGGAAGATCCACATGACAAGACCAAATATATAGAAAATAAGCATAGAAGAAGAGGTATGAGCTGAAGCAACATCAAAATATATATAATAAGTAAGAGAACATTCTCCCAACTCTTATGAAAGAAGTAGACCTGCAGATATAGCAGGCTCTTAAGAACACAAAAAAAGACAAGATCAGAAAGATCGCAATTCGAAGTCAGTCTAGTCAGGAAACTCTGTGAGTATCTTATCTCCAATTAACCAGCACACAAAAAAGCTGAATGTGCAGCTGTGGCTCAAGTGATAGAGTATCAGCCTTGAGCAAAATAAGCTCAGGATCTGAGGATCATGGTTTGAAGCCAGCCCAGGCAGGAAAATCCACGAGACTCTTTTCTCCAATTAACCACCCAAAGAGCCAGAAATGGAGCTGTGGCTCACATGGTAGAGCGCTAGGCACACAGTTCAAGCCCAGGACTGACATACATACACTGAAAGAAGAAAGTGGCTCATGGCACCCCCTAAGCGAAGACAAAGGGGAAGGAAAGTGGGTTTCTGTTGTCTATACCTAGAGCTAAAATTGTCTTGAGGAACCAGGATAGACTCTCCAGCTTGGCAAGGAAACAGGAAATTAGCCCACCCCCTCCCCATGTCCAGAACTTTCCATGTGGCTTGTGGAAGTGACCCAGGTGTAAGGCTGGTCACAGATCACTGACCTCTATCCCTAACTAAGACAGTTAAGGGAAACCCATTTCTTGGAGTCATTATGGGTAGAGAATGTTTTTTTGTTTTTTAATTTTTAACTATATTCAGGCTGGGTGCTGGTGGCTCACACCTGTAATCCTAGCTACTCAGGAGGCTAAGATCTGAGGATCACAGTAAGAAAGCCAGCCCTGAAAGTCCCAAGACTCTTATCTTCCATTAACCACTTAAAAAACAAACAAACAAATCCAGAAGTATTGCTGCGGCTCAAAGTGGTAGAGTGCTAGCCTTTAGCAAAAAGAACTCAAAGAGAGTACCTGGGCCCTGAGACCAAGCTTAAAACACACACACACACACACACACACACACACACACACACACACACACACGTTCCCCAGCTATATTTAATTAGTTTCACAAGAAAGTTCCCTTTTAACCCACTTTTGTTTTTTTAGGCATACACTGCTTCTTGATCAAAGCCATCTCCCTGCTGTTCTACCTCCTCTTCTTCCTCCTCCTCTTCCCTCTTCCCAAATCAGTCTCAGCAAGCTTCCTTATCCTATTTTCACACATGTACAGGTTTTTTTGTTGTTGTTGAAGTTTTGTTTTGTTTTTGTCAGGTGTGGGGCTTGAACTCTGGGCCTGGGCGCTGTCCCTCAGCTCTTCAGCTCAAGGCTAGCACTCTACCACTTGAGCCACAGCGCCACGTCCAGTTTTCTGGTAGTTAATTGGAGATGAGAGTCTCACCGACTTTCCTGCCCAGGCTGGGTTTGAACCATGATTCTCAGATCTCAACCTCCTGAGTAGCAAGGATTACAGGCGTGAGCCGACAGCTCCTGGCATGTACAGGTTTTTAAGACCATAATATCCTTCCTCCCCCCACCTCTCTTTGTAGTCACCCAACCCCTTTCTGCTAGACCTTCCCTGCCCAGACAAGATATACTTCAGTTTCCTACTATCATTTTTTTAAAAAGTGCCTGTAAATTGCTCAGAGAGGTTTCATCATTAGTCAGATTATATATATATATATATATATATATAATGAGGAGAGAGCATATGTTTACATATATGTTTCTATTTTATGTGTGACATATACATATGAGAACATACCACCTTTGTCTTTCTGAGCCTTGTCTTACTTCACTCAACATGATGTTTTTCAGATCCATTTATTTCCCTGCAAATGACATAGTTTCATTCTTCTTGATGGCTAAATAACATTCCACTGCACTGTATGTGTATGTGTGTGTACCCCCACCTATATACATATATAGTATATTTGTATATATGTATATTTATACATGTATATGTATAAATGTATATATGTATGTTTCATGTATATATACATACGAGTGTTTGTGTGACATATATGTGTAAGTATGCGTGTGTGTATATCATATTTCTTGATCTATGCATCAGTTGTAGGGTATGAGGGCTGTTCTCATGGCTTAGATATTATGAACAGTGTAGATGCTTTTATTGTATCCTGACTTACATTCCTTCAGTAAATGCCTAACAGTAGTAACACTGGGCCAAAGGATAGTTCTTTTTTTTTTTTGGTTGGTTGTGGGGCTTGAACTCAGGATCTGGGTGCTGTCCCTGAGCTCTTTTTTTTTTTTTTTTTGGTCGGTAGTGGGACCTGAACTCTTGGCCTGAGTACTATCCCTCAGCTCTTTAGCTCAAGGCTAGCACTCTACCACTTGAGCCACGGCACCACTTCTGGCATTTTCTGCTTATGTGCTACTGAGGAATTGAACCCAGAGCCTCATGCATGCTAGATAAGCACTCTATCACTGAGCCACCTTCCCTGCCCCTCCCTGAGCTCTTTTGCTCAAAGCTATAGTGCTCTACCATTTAGAGCCACAGCTCCACTTCTGGTTTTCTGCTGGTTCATGGGAGATAAGAGTCTGTCTAAGAGACTTTCCCCACTGGGCTGGTTTCAAACCACAATCCTCAAATCTCAGCCTCTTGAGTAGCTAGAATTACAGGTGTGAACCATTGGTGACTAGTTAGGGTAGTTCTTATTTTTCTTTGCTTGAGAAGCTTCCACATGGATGATAAGGAAGGACTTTGAAGAACCTAGGTTGAATGTGGTCCTTGGGAACCGTGCAGCAGCTGAATGTGTTGGAAGGGTCTGGCGGGGCTTCCTGAAAATGCTGAGGCCCGTGGAGGCAGTGTTGTCCTGACGAAGATGAGTGGATTGAAGGATCTGCACAGGGGAGCACTGTGATGGGGAAACAACAGGCCTCTTGGTAGAAATCAAGACCCTGTCAAGAAGCTTTAGTCGGAAGGTGTTGGCCGGCTGAGGCTGGATCATTACCCGCCCCCCCCCCCCGCATGCCATGCATAACAGGGGTTTGAAATTCATGGGAGAAAGGGCTTCTAAGGTCATGACCTCCTGAACTTAATATTCCCTTTTGAAACTGGGGGTCATTGGAAGCTGGTGGCTCCTGCCAGTAATCCTAGCTACACAGGGGGCTAAGATCTGAGGATCGGGGTTCAAAGCCAGCCCAGGCAGAAAAGTCTGTGAGACTCTTAGCTCCAATGAACCACCCCCCAAACTGGAAGTAGACCTGTAGCTCAAAATGGTAGAGTGCTACCCTGGAGGAAAAGAGCTCAGGGACAGCGCCCAGGCCCCAAGTCCAAGCCCTAGGACCACCACCACCACCAACAACAAAAAGGAATCAGAAGCTCAGGAGGACCAAAAAACCCAGTTCAATGCATAGAGCAAACTACTTTTTTGTTTTTTGAATTAACTTTGATTGTGTGTGTGTGTGTGTGTGTGTGTGTGTGTGCGTGTGTGACACCAGACCTGGAACTCAGGGCCTGGACACTGTCCCTAAGTTTTTGTACTCAAGGCTAGCACTCTATCACTTGAGACAGAGCTCCATTCTTGGCTTTTGGTGGTTAACTGGAGATGAGTCTCTGGAACTTTCCTGCCAGGTTTGGCTTCGAACCATGATCCTCAGGGTTCACCCTCCTGAGTAGCTGGGCTTAGGGGCATGAGCCACCAGTGTACAGCTCAGCATTGACTTTTCTTATTAAAGAAAAAAAAAGAAAGAAAGGAAAAAATGAAAAGAAGAAAAAAAAGAAACAAAGAAAGAAAGAAAGGAAAAGAAAAACAACCAAGCATGCAAAAGATAAGACTGAAAGAGAGGAAAAGGAAATCTCTCTGTCTTCCCATCTGCTTTACGGAGTTTTGACATCGTTACATATTTCAGATCCTCTTTGAAAAATATATATCCTAACAAGTGGTAGCATCCCCACCCTCCTATCTGTGGTTTGATTTTTCTATTTCCTTCTCTGCCCCTCTGGCCCAACTTCCCTTCCAAAGATGGTGTTTATGATACAAAAGTAATATACGTGTGTGTGTGTGTGTGTGTGTGTGTGTGTGTGTGTGTGTACTCACAGACAATGCATTAGCTTGCTTTGCACATTTGGAAGTTTTCTAATCATATCCCATGGGCCGATATCCTTCCTGGCCTTATTTTGGTTTCCTTCACATGACAGCGAAGAGACCTATCTAGCCAGCACTCATTTCTCACTGAAAAAAAAAACAAAAACAACAAGAAAGCCAAAAAGATATCCCAGGAGAAAATACATGCTTAGACACAAAGAAGGCAGGAAAGCTTTGTTAGTTTGATAAGCAATCACTTCCAGGAACCTACAGGGATGTTTTATTTAGAAATGAAATAGGAAAGGTCTTTCTTTTGTAAAATGAAGAGCCAGGCATTGGTGCCTTGCACCTGCAAGTCCTAGCTACTCAGGAGGCTGAGATCTGAGGATCACGGTTCAAAGTCAGCTGAGGCAGAAAAGTCCGTGAGACTCTTATCTCCAATTAACCACCAGAAAACCAGAAGTGGAGATGTGGCTCAAAGTGGGAGAACACCAGCATTGAGCAAAAAACATAGAGCCCAGGTCCTGAGTTTAAGCCCCAGTACCAGCGTGCACGTGCGCACGCGCACACACACACACACACAATCACTTTGCTTATACTTACTAATTTCTAAAGTCTTACAGCTCAGACAGACAAATGTAAGTGATAGATACAGCAAGCGAGAGAGCATCCCAGATGTTTACCACCCTCTGAACCCCAACTTCTAACAAAGCTGCTCTTTTAGGAGTTGTCCTTGGCAGAACACTTTAAAAAATATATTATTATTATTAAGGAGTTGTACAGAGGGGTTATAATTCCTCAAGTCCAGGTAATGCGTACAATTCTTCTTGGACATTGCCACCCTTTCCTTCGCTCCCCCCACCCCACCCCTGCCATTTGCCCTTCCATCCCTGCCCGCAAGCTTCATAGTTCATTTTCCACATAGTGTCTGAATACCATGACTGCATTTGTTCAACCTTCCTCCTTCTACTTCTGCCCCTGCTCCCAAGGCAGAATATTTTTTACTCTTTCTCTCTGTCTCTTTGTCTTTTGTCTCTGTATCTCTCATCTCTCTGTCTCTCTGTCTCTGTCTCTCTCTGTAATGGGGCTTGAACTCAGGACCTGGGCACTGTCCCTGAGCTGTTCTGCTTAAGGCTAGTGCTCTACCATTTTGAGCCACAGCACCAGTTCCAGTTTTCTGGTGGTTAATTAGAGATAAGTCTTATGGACTGGCTTTGAACTAGGATCCTCAGATCTCAGCCTCCTGGGTTGCTAGGATTGCAGGCGTGAGCCACCAGTGCCGCCTTCAATAGTTACTGACTGAAGAATCTGTTACTTGGTAATTGCAGCTTTGGGGATGCACTGGGGACAATCCAAAAAGCTCCTGTGCACAGGTACACAGGGAAGTGGGTGGAAGTCGATAGGGTGGAAGGTGTTAGGTTTTAATTAGATCTAGGAAACTACCATGCAGTCTTCAGGCAGAAAAAATAAAAGTTTATTCGGAACTGCCAGCCCTGCATGAGGTGGAGGTGTGCACAGAAGGGGGCTGACACCTAGCCAGATTGGGGTTAAGTGGGAGGGGGCGGGGAGGATGAAGCTGATGTGATCTCAGAGTCTGGGACCCTCCTAAGGTCTGACGGAGGGGTGACCAGGGAGGTCCAGGATGTGACCTCAGAGAAAGGAGAGGTGACTGCTGGTCTCCGCATGTGCTGGTCACCTAGGTAACACAGGTGTTGGGCGGAGACTTCTAGAGTAGGGTACATGGGGGGGGGGAAGGATACCACTTAGGCTGGATGGTGATGGTACTTCAACATGAAAGCAAACCCTTTGGTCCCAGCAAAGAGGGTGGAGCTGGTTTCAAGGAACATACCCAGCACATGTGTGAAGCCTACCCCTGCCTCTTCCACTGACCTGCAAAGATGTCCTACTACAACCAGTAGGCCAAAGGGAACCTGGAAAGCAGAGGAGGAAAAGATCTCAGCGGTCCATCCCCTTGGGGGCCCAGGAGTCTCGCAGGGAAGAGTCCAGAACTGTGAGTTCAGGGTCCAGATCTCAACACAAATGGCGAGGGATTAAAGAATGGGGGTGGAAATGACAGATGTTTCTGCCACCACCCAGCAGGGAGGTTGGAAGGACCAAGCTGCAAGGGATTGTGGGAGAGGAATGGGCTGATCATAATCAAGGCACTGCAATGGGATACTGGGCGGAAGAAAATTAGAAAAGAGAGGGAGAGAGGGAGGGAGAGGGAGGGAAGGAGGGAGAGGGGGAGGAGGAGGAGAGAGAGAGAGGGAGAGAGAGAGAGGAAAGATGAGAATCAGCAGGGACCAGGGACCCCAAATCCCCACAAGCAAGCACATTTAGTTGAGTTGACACACGAAAGGTTACCATGGATACATGCAACCCATAAAGCATCTAGATTAATATGACAACCAGAGCTAAAACAGAGTTTGTGGGACACTGATTTCCTTATTCTTGTAGGACAAGAGACTGCAGCCCAGGGAAAGTCCAGACACTGTGTCCATATATTTAGCCCAAACTTAAGTTGTCAAAGTCCCTGGCATAGCTGCCAGCCCAAGGAAAGGGGTGGGGTGGGGGTGGCACCCCGGTCTCTTCACCCTCTCCAGAGCTGTCTGTTTTAAACCCTTGCTGGCAGCTCTCCGCATTCTGGGTGCTGTTTGCGGGTTGCGCAGTTCAGGGTCAGAGTTCCCTGCAAGGGGCCGGCCGCCCTCATTGGTTGGGGCAGGACGCTGCTGGCTTTTTACAGATCCAGAAGTTGTTGACGTCACAGTTGTCATCATTCCACCCGTTGCCGTCAAACTCCGCACAGTCTTCCTCCCCCAGGTTGTTGGGCTCCTGCGGGTTCCAGTACTTCATGAAGCTGCAGAGAGCAAGACCCTTAGAGGGACTGTGCCCGCGCATGCGCGCATGGAGCTTAACTCAGGGCCTGAGCGCTGTCCCTGAGCTTGTGTGCTCAAAGATGGCGCTCTACTCCTTGGAGGTACAGCTCCACTTCCAACTTTTCTGCTGGCTAACTGCAGATAAAGTCTCATGGATTTTTCTGCCCAGGCTGGCTTCGAGTCAGGATCCTTAGATCTCAACCTCTTGAGCAGCTAGGATGATAGGTGTGAGTCATTGATATCCAGCCAACATGCCATCTTGGGGAAGATTACCTATGAATGTGCTCTATTTCAAATCCTTTCACCCCAGGCACTCCTGCAGCTTTGACCATGGCAGTCTCGGCCTCTGCCACCCTACTTCACCTGAACATAGAGACCTTGCTTGAACTCGGGGCCTGGGCGCTGTCCCTGAGCTCTTTTTGCTCAAGGCTAGCGCTCTACCACGTTGAGCCACAGCACCATTGGGGGAATAGACTTTGTCACAAGGTCACAGACTTTGTCAGAGGTGCCTGGGGGTTGGAATGGGGAACCCCCCCTCCAAACATAGCTCAAAAGTCAGAGTATCAAAATCCCACAGGACTCTGTCAGACATTCGCACGAGACTTACGCAGGCAACAGGGGTGAACCATCCACCCAGCGCCATGTGGCTTCTGTGTTCAGGTCTGACATCCCCATCCACGTGTGGCCTTTATTCTTGGAGATCAGTTGCAAGAAGTTCTGGAAAGGGAGAGAGAGCACTACCATTCTAGTTTACCAGCTGGGCCTCCCTCTGCCCCCCCCCCACTTCCCTCTTCCTCCCGCAGTCTCTTCCCAGGAAGTTCTGCTTGTAGTTTGACTTAAAGCCTTCCAGTGTTGGAAAACATAAATCTTCATGAGTTTTTTGGGAGGTCTGGGTCCCTCTCTCCCATGTGTACAGGTGTCCTGACTTTGTACCTGGAACACGTGTGGCGTTTCACCTTACACACAGCCACATCAACAACATGATATGTTTAATCTGCCCATGCACACTCAGATTTACTCATCCTTGGCTTTAGTGGGGATTAACCATGGCCTCAATTGTCACTGATCTCCAGCTGTATATTGAATGACAATCCCCTTGGAGGCTTGGCCAGGCTGGCCATATCAATATTTATACCAGGGTAACTGGCAAAAGGTTTACTTTACTTTTTGTTACTTTTTTTTCTTTTGTACTGGTCCTGGGGCTTGAACTCAGGGCCTGGGAGGGGCTGTCCTTGAGCTTTTTCACTCAAGGCTAGCACTTTACCACTTGAGCCATAGCTCCACTTCTGACTTTCTGTTGGTTCACTGGAGATAAGAGTCTCATGGATTTTCCCGCCTGGGGCTGGCTTTGAGCCACAATCCTCAGATCTCAGTCTCTTGAGCAGGTAGGATGAAAGGCCTGAGCCCCCGATGCTCAGCTGGCAATCCCCCCATTTAAAAAAGTTCCCCCAGGGCATTCGTTCAGATTAAAACAAGAATGGTCCCCCTGAAACAGAATTGGGACTTTTTCCCCATTCATTTTGTCTTCTCTTTCTAGTTGCAGTAGGCTGCAGCCTTTCATCCAGAACGCCATGCCTGAACAGCCAGCCAGTGTGACCGGATAAAGGGCCCCACAGGAAGATAGGGGTCCCCCACCCTCCCCACGAGCCCTGGTTTACCTGCTCCTCATGACTTTTGATGACAACCAGTTGGGCCCCTGTTTCTTTGCAAGCGATGACAGAATCCGTCCAATTCCGGGTGGACTTGGAGAAGAAGTAACAGTTTCCTTGGAAGGACGTCCAGTCCCAGGGGCAGGGCCGGCACAGGCGGTCTGCGGGAGGAAGTGGAGGGTCGGGCTGGACTCCTACATGGACAGCTTTGTTCTGTGTCTGCCCAGCTTTCTAGGGCCTTCCCTTGCCGCCATTCCCCACTCTCCATGTCCTGACCCCCTTCTTAGCCTGGAAAAACCTCAGAACCCTGGCTGCAGATAGGGACAAGTAAGGCTTTGCAAATCCAGAGCTGAAGGAGATTAGTTGTGTACCTACTAGATGCATGAGGCCTGAGCACACTCCACCTGTTACGTTGAGTTCCTACTTCCCAGATGAGGGAAACTGAGGTTCCACAGGAGGGGTGGTTATATAAAGGAAGAGAGACCCTCTCAAACTTTGAGACTCCCCCTCTGTTCCACAAGTGTCTGGCTACTCACCCACTCCAGCCTTCAGTTGAATCATCTCCTGGTAGATCTCCTCTTGCTTGGACTGTCCTTGATCGCTGGGGACTTTGAAGACTTGAGTCCCACCACCATCAAAAAAAAAAAAAGGAAGTGGTGCGGTGGCTCACGTGGTAAAGCGCTAGCCTTAAGCTGAAGAGCTCAGGGACCGTGCCCAGGCCCAGAGTTCAAACCCCATGACCGACCAATAAATAAATAAACACCCACAAAATCAAACCCCACTGTGATCATAAAGCACCTACTGTTTGTCAGCCTCCAGCTCCACCTCCTCCCCCCGTCTGCCTTCAGATCATCATTTCTGAGATCCAAGGTTTTGTGTGATTGCATTTGAGGATGAAGAAACCTTGCTCCTCAGCTCTTCCCTCCCTCCTTTCCTCCCCCACTCTCTTCCCAATCCCCCCTCCCTTCCCGCAGAAGCCCCCAGAAGCCTCTGATAGATTTGATCCCAGCTCCTGATTCACCTCCCTCTTGGCCTCACCAGGCCACACATCCCCAGCCCTCTGTCCTCTCCTCACCTTGGACGAGAATGGCCAGCAGGAGCCCGGAGAAGAAGATGAAGAAGAGCAGCTTCAGCACAAGAGGGGTGTGGCCACGGCCTAGACACCCTGTGGGACACATAGAGGCCAGGGGCCAGTGACAGCGTGGCCACCACTGCATTCTCCTCCCAAGCCAGGAGCCCATGGCTCTTGCCTGTCACCCTAGCTACTCGAGAGGTTGAGCTCTGAGGATCATGGTTCAAAGCCAGCACAGGCAGAAAAAACTGTGAGACTTTTTTTTTTTGGTTGATCATGGGGCTTGAACTCTGGGCCTGGGCGCTGTCCCTCAGCTCTTCAGCTCAAGGCCAGCACTCTACCACTTGAGCTACAGCGCCACTTCTGTTTTTCTGGTAATTTATTGGAGATAGGAGTCTCATTGTCATTCCTGCCCAGGCTGGCTTTGAACGCGATCTTCAGATCTTAGCCTCCTGAGTAGCTAGGATTACAGGCATGAGCCACCAGTGCCCGGCCTGTGAGACTTTTTATCTTCAATTAACCACCCAAAAGCTGGAAGTGGAGCTGTGGCTCAAGTGATAGAGCACCATCCTTGAGCACAAAAAGCTCAGGGATAGCACTCAGGCCCTGAGTTCAAGTCCCAGGACTGGCATGTGTGTGTGCACATGCACATGCACACACACACACACACACTCACACACACACACAAAACCTCAGGAGTCCAGATCTTCAGCTTTCACTCTTCTACTACCCAAAGGTCCAGCATTTGAACACTCAGTTCCAAGCACCCAGATATCCAGAGATCAGATTGTCACCCTCCCCCAAGAGCTAAGTAGCTGCCAAGGAGCTGTCCTCCTGCTCGGGCAGAGCAGCTCAAGGAATATTGGCTGCCATTGGTGACCAGCTTCTCCTCATCTAAATGTGGAAAGCATCCATCAAAGACCTGAGCTTTTCCCCCCACTCCTGGTTCCGGAATCCAGAGTGCGCCCCCCAAGTCCCAGGCTAGCCTCACCCAGGGGGCCTGGCTGTGGCTCCTTCATTTCCTCGGAGTCATGCAAGGTCACTGCTGTCCCTTGGTGTCACCGGCTGCTGAAGATCACAGCTTTTATTCCTAACTCCCTAAATCTCTTCTTCTCATGGAGGAAGAAAAAAAAAGGAACTGGGTACCAGCACCGGAAGAGGCTGGGGGGGCAGGGCAGGCAAAGCTGACCCACCTCTGAAGGGGTCCCATGGTCCAGGAATTCCAGAGAGGGGTTGGCAGGTGCTGGCTCTTTAGCACAGAGCAGCGATGAGAGTTGGGTATCTATGCCCACTCCTCCCGCATCCCAAAATCTCCCAGTGTCTCCAGAAATATCTATGCTATGCTGAACCCAGGCTTCTGCCTTGATTTGCCATTTTCTTTTTTCTTTTTGTTGGTTGTGGGTCTTGAACTCTGGGTCTGGGCACTATCCTTCAGCTCTTCAGCTCAAGGCGGACACTCTATCACTTGAGCCACTGCACCACTTCTGGTTTTCTGTGTGGTTTATTGGAGATAAGAGTCTCACAGACTTTCCTGCCCAGGCTGAATCTGAACCTCAATCCTCAGATCTCAGCCTCCTGAGTAGCTAGGATGACAGGCATGAGCCACCGATGCCCAGCTTGCCATTTTCTGACTTATGGGAATTTCTGCCGACTTGAGAGTGGAGATCCAATTCAGAACCATTCATATTTATTTAATGTTTATGATGATCAGAAACCTTCTCTCTGCATTTTTAAATTTTAAAAAATTGTGTGTGTGTGTGTGTGTGTGTGTGTGTGTGCGCGCGCGCGCGTGCGCACTCACGCCAGTACCTGGGGTTGAACACAGGGCCTGGCGCTCTCCTTGAGCTTTTGTGTTCAAGGCTGGTGCTCTACCATTTAGTTGTAGCTCCATTTCTCACTTTTTAGTGATTATTGGAGATAAGAGTCTCATAGACTTTCCTGCCCAGGCTGGCTTTGAACAGTGATGCTCAGATCTCAGCTAGGATTACAGGTGTGAGCCACCAGCACCTGGCTTACTGGTGTTTTGATTTTCATTTCCCTGATGACTATAGCTGTTGTTCCTTCCCTTCCTTCTTTCCTTCCTCTTCCCTCCTTCCTCCCTCCCTCCCTTCCTCCCTCCCTCCCTCCCTTCTTTCCTTCCTTCCTTCCCTCTTTCCTTCCTTTCTCTCTCTTTTTCTTTCTCTCATGAAAAGCTGCTTGTCATGGTGAATCATTAGAAAATATGAATGGAACATTAGGTAGGTTGCTTGAGCAAAAAAGCTCAGACACAGCTCCCAGGCTCTGAGTCCAAGCCTCACTGCTGACAAAAACAAAAACATTAGATGGATGGCTCACACCTGTAATCCAAGCTACTCTGGAAGCTGAGATCTGAGGATCACGAATCAAAGGCAGTCTGGGTAAGAAAGTCTGTGACACTCTTACCTGCAATGAACTACCAAAAAGCCAGAAGGGGAGCTGCGGCTTAAGTAATAGAGCACTAGCCTTGAACATAAAAGCTCAGAGACAGTGCCCAGGCCCTGAGTTCAAGCCCCAAGAGTGATACAAAAAACAAAATAAGAACAAAAACAACCACCAAACCCACAACGCAAAACAAAAAACTCCACTAGCTACCACCTTTCCCCCGGCCTCCACAGGGACCATTCATATAAAAGCCAGCAAAGGGGCTGGGAAGGTGGCTCAGTGGTAGAGCGCTTGCCTTGTATGCATGAGGCCCTGAGTTTGATTCCCCAGCACCACATAAGCAAAAAGAAAAAAAAAGCCAGAAGTGGTGCTGTGGCTCAAGTGGTAGAGTGCTAGCCTTGAGCTGAAGAGCTGAGGGGCAGCGCCCAGGCCCAGAGTTCAGGCCCCATGACTGGCCCCCCAAAAAAAGCTAGCAAATTTCTTTTAAAAAACATGTCCCAAGGATGTGGAAAAATTGGAACCCTTGCACAATGTTGCTGGGAACACACCGAATAATGTAGCTTCTGCAGAAAAACACATTTAGTTCCTCAAAATAATGCCAATGGAAATATCATCTGACCCTACGGTTCCAATTCTGGGTATCTCTACTCCCAAAGAACTGAAAGCAGGGGTTCTCGGAAATATTGTGTGTCTGTGTTCCCAGCTGCATTGTGCACCAATAGCCAGTAAGTAGAAGGAACAGGAGTCTTCACTGGATAGAGGAACAGCTTAAGAGAATGGTAGTTATCCACACAAGGGAATATTATACAGCCTTTGAAAAGGAAAGGCGTTCTCATACATGCTACAGCATAAGATGAACATGGAGGGCAGTCATCAGTGAAAATCAGCCAGCTTGCATAGGACAAATACCGCGCCTGCATCGGACAATACTGCATGATTCATTTCACAGGAAGCCCCTGAAGTCATCACATTTACAGCACAGGATATAGAATTGTGGGGGGGGGGGGGAAGAAGACCAGGGATCTCTTTTATTTATTGTTTTCAGTTTGTATTTTTCTTTATCTGTAAGTAGTGATCCAAAGGAGTTACCATTCAGTGAGCCCTGTTTATGAATGCAATGAATCTTAATCAGTGTCCCCCTTCCATCCCTCCCAACCCCTCCCCTCAATTTCCCTAATTTTGTAGAATATGAATCGAATAGTGTGAGTGCATTCTCCCTCTCCTTCCTCCCCCCACACCCTGCTGCCCGAGGGATCTCTTGTTTAATTAATCGGCTCTATGAAATGAAGAACTCGGTAAGCAGATGCTGGTGGTGGTAATGTTTATTTAATAATACCACGGATCTACACACTCTTAGTGGAATAGAGCGTACATTAAACTTTTTTGAAGCTCACAATTAAGACGCTATTTTTTGTGGAATAAAAGATCTACCAGCTGGGCATGGCATCTTCAAACCTGTAATCTAAGCTTCTTCAGAGGTAGAGGGAAGAGGTGTGTTTGGAGGCCAGCTAGGTCATAAAAATTCATGAGACTCCATCTCAACTAATGTTCGAGGGTGGTGATGCCTGTCTGTTGGCCCAGCTATGGAGAAAGCACATTGTCTAGGTGCATCTTTTATTCCCAGCAATGCTGACAAGCACAAGGAGGAGATTCACAAGGCAAGACCAGCCTGGGCCTGAAGTAAGACCCTTCCTTTATGCAGGAGACATGGCTCAAATGTTAGAGAGCTTGCCTAGCAACCAAGAGGCCTTGAGTTCAATTCCTAGCACTGAAAAACAAATCAGTACAGCCACTTCATCAAAGAAGTCACCAACAGCAAACAATCATATCAAATAGGTATATAAAAGGCTTTTTATAGCTGAGGATGGTGGTTCAAAGCCAGCCTGGGCAGGAAAGTCTATGAGACTCTTATCTCCAATAAACCACCAGAAAACTGGAAGTGGTGCTGTGGCTCAAAGTGGTAGAGTTCTAGCCTTGAGTGACAAAGCTTAGGGACGGCGCCCAGGCCCTGAGTTCAAACCTCAAGACTGACCCCCCAAAATGCTTTTATTTCCAAATAACAAGAAAAAAGCAGGAACTGGAGGAATGGCTCAAGCAGTAGAGTTCTAGCTGTGAGCACGTCCCAACACTAGGATAAAAGCAAAAAAAAAAAAAAGTCTTATTATTTGCTGGTGGTTTATCTCCTATCCACCCATTGGTGAAGAATTCCATAACTCGTGACAAAACAGTGTCATTAAGCCAGGCACTGGGTGGCTTGGGCCTGTAATCCCAACTACTCAGGAGGCTGAGATCTGAGGATCACAGTTCAAAGCCAGCCTGGACAGGATAAGTCGGAGAGATTCTTAGCTCCAATTAATCACAAAAAGCTGGAAGTAGAGCTGTAGCTCAAGTAGTAGAGTGCTAGCCTTGAACAAAAGAGCTCAAGGACAGTGCCCAGGCCCTGAGTTCAAACCCCAGTACCATCACACATACACCAGTGTTATCGATCACACACTCATCATCAGGTCAGGAGTATACTTCTGGGGGTCCCAAGAGAGTGGGGTCCCCCCTGGATTCCACAGGGAGTTGTGATTGGCTAGATTCAGTGATTTCATGGCTGCCAAGGATCTGTCTTTGGGGAGGATCGGAAGCTGAGTCAGGTTCCTCAGTAAGGAAGAGATGTCCAGGAAGAGAGCTAGAAGGGGAACTCTGTG